GATTTTGTGGACGGTGACTGCACTTTTAGGGCCCCTGTGCCCTGTATTATCTCCAACTAACTTACGTGATTAGACACAGGCGTAAATGTGTTGGCTGCTTTCGTGGCCAATCAGCAATTTTCTTCCGTGTTCCAGAACATCCCACCGGACCTGTCGCAGTGCGTGTGTGTGATCGAGCAGGCCTTGTCCGTGCGAGCTCTCCAGGAACTGGTCACCGCTGCTGGGTCGGAGACGGTGAGTTGCCCTCTCGGCACCCCGAACTTTGAAAATTGCTTTTTTTGGGGACGATCGCCACGTGCATTAGAATTAATCTGGACGATTGTGTCGAGCAATTTATATATCGGCGTTAATCAAGAAGACTTTACTTATTTTAGAGGAACAAAATTATATTATAATTACAGTGTATCAGTGATTAACATTGCGGGTTCTCAAAGCGAAATATGAATTTATTAAACGCTCCCTATTACAGTTACGGCGGCGTAAACTAAGTTCCTCGCCTCGCTAACCGCGTAGCTGCAAGTTTCTAGCTTTGCCGTCGTTCCGCGATGTGTTCACTCGCCATGTTTCAAGGGTGTACGACTTTTCTGTGGCACTGAAGCTTGCCTAAACTCGCAGCCTTGACGAGTCCCCGTCTCTAATGCTCTGTGTGCCACTCTGCTGTATCTTATGCTGCAGTGGAATGTCCCAGTTCTTCGTCGTTGGAGCTCATCACTTTTCTGTTTTCTTTGGGGCTTTGAATCTGCCATAACAAATGCAGACCGTTCCTCCTCTGTCATCTGCTTCTGATAACCAAATATGCATTTGATACGACGTTTGGATTCAGTAACTGAATGTTTTACTGTTGTTAATTTACACACAAATACTTTTGGGTGTAATTTTCAATGTAATATTAAAAACGCATTATTAATTTTCAGTTCATATAATACATTATATCCCATATATTAAATAAATTCCACATATTCCACTGTAAGGATGAGTGCAAATTATGATTCTGATTGGATCGTAAATAAAAGCAAGACGTGTCGAAGGAAAAAAGATCATCTCAAAGCACGTAAAAATTTGTATGCTTGAAACAAATGTGAGTGAATTGTTTGCTGTAAGTTCACTGAATTTCAAGTCTGTCTGTAGTATACCATCCTCGTGTGCTAGGTTCAATTCTCGGTTTTCCGGCCTATCACTTTTCACTTGAACGTGCTTTGACCCAGTACAGCCATCGCCATGTTAAATCCTCTGCTTCAATGTTATTGTGCTAAGGATGTCCTCCCGAGTGCCCAGAAATGAGAACTGGTTATAGTTTAGTGAATTCGGTTAGAAATTAAAATCATAATTTTTTTTATCAAGCTGTTGCTTTGGGCACGGCCCGGTGAGTCTCGGTGTATTTTAGGTGCGTCATTGTGGAGTGATGAACCACAACACACAATTGACTAAATCATAAATTGTTTTTCTATATATTTATCATTATTTTTGGACATTAGGGAGGAGAGTCTTAGTGGCTCAACTCAAAGCATGTCGTGCTTAGTCTGCAAGCTGATTATTGAATTAAGATGACAGGGAGACAATAAAACAACTGCCTGCTAATCCTTGTGGTTTTCCATGCACCAGAAGTTGTATGAAGGTATTTTCCGTGTATTCACAATGTTATTTACTCCTCGTAACAGGCTTAGGAAGCTTTAGATTGACCTTTGTCGTTTAGGAAGAGGGGATTCGAACCCCTGTACTGTTGGATCGCCAGCTTGACTTTAATTCCTGGCTTAGTTGTTTGCTGGTGTTGCCAGCTGGATTGTGCGTAAGCCACAATACGAAGGCGATGTCCCCAGGGATGGTCTTCGATCAGCAGAGATCCTAGGCAAATCTTTAGTCGGCGTCTGAGGTGTGAGAATGTGTGCGGAGGATTATGATGCTAATTGTTGGCAGAGAGAACCTACAATGTAATGTGGGCTCTAAACCTCAATGGAGGCCTAGTAAGCATCCGTTCACATAATAATTTTTATCTTTCGTAAATACATAATGCATTGCTAAGTTAACTGATGAGAATTCTACAATATGAAAATTGCTTGAATACAAGTTTTATTAAGTAATTGGAGCTCTTCGTGATCTGAACGTTCTTTATTTATCCGCTCATACATAAACTAACTTCATCGGAGTACCAAACGCACAACGCAAGTGGCATTTCAGTTGGCTGCATTGTCTAATTTACTGAGCAGTCTGTTTGTGATGGTCTCATATAAAAAAAATAAGCGAGTGTGTTCTTTATTAATAAACAAATGGTAAAGATTATTTAAGCCATACATTTGTCAATATGTACACTTGTTTCAAAATGAATAAGATGGTTACATGTAAGACTTGAGGTTCTCACAGCGCAATAACCCAGAAGACAGAAATCTTCAAGATGGTTACAATTGGCTGTACTTAATACACCAGACCATTTACAACAACCAAATAACTTGGTACATGCACAGAAACACTTCAGGTTTGTTTACATGATAAATGTCCACCCACGTGAGCTGTTGCATTGCTACGTCGACTTGAGCAAATTTGTCTGGGTTCAAGTAAGGACTGTGTCATCGGTGGTCTGTAGATGACAACCCAGTAGAAGAAATTGAGAGGTGACAGGTCTGGGGATGATGACGATGGCTGTCTTCTGTAACGTCGGTAAACTTCTACCAGACTACACGGCGCAACAACCCAGAAGACAGCCATCTTCGGACTCACTGCCGTGGAATCTGCAGGTCTGGGCGTCTTTGTGACCAAGGTGTTGGTCTATCCAACTTTATGCAATTGATTATTTACAAATGCTGTCACGGTTAAGTGAAAAGATAGTGGTGTCCCATCCTGATGGAAGAGTGAACGGCCTGCAGCTGGGGTCACAGCCATCGCTCTTGCATATCTCTGTATGTAATACCAGTAACAGTAGCCTCAGCAAAGAGGAAATAACCATAAAACATTTGGTTTGTATTGTGCGCACAAGACACACTCACCTTTGGTGAGTCAATCACAAATTCAACGCTAACATGAGCTTTCTCACTTCACTAGATGCACACATTCTTCCTGTTTACGAATCCGTTCAGGTGGAACGTGAGCTCATCGCTGATGACGATATACAAATTAAGTGCCTCATCTTCTTACAACTGCGCAATTGGTTCTCAAAGAACGCCACCTTTCTCACCTTGTCCTCTTCTGATAAGGACTGCAACATCTGTATCTTGAAGATCTGAACTGTGGAGGAATCACCAAACATTGATTCATGTTATTCTGAGTTCATTGCTGGCTTTTCTGGTTGACTTCTTGGAACTTTGAACAGTGCTCGGATCTCGACAGCATCATTCAGATACAACCAGCAGTCAAGAGGTTGTTATACTAACATCTGATAGTCTCTCTTGAAAGTGGATTCTTCCTGAATAATTTTTGGAGCCAGCGCTGAACTGCAATCACGGATTCTGAATCATGAAACCAAAACAACAAAAACCCTTCTGCTGTTATGACTCTTTTGTGTTAACTACAATGGCAGGCAGCGCTGCAGTGGAAAGTGAATGAACTACGTCATCTTCACGTGACTGATTTTGGAGTGTGTCTGTATGAACTAGGTTGTTGATTGTTGTAACCACTAAAGCGTCAATTGCAATCATTGCATTTATTTTGAAACACGCTGTATATTACTGCATTTTACACAGTGTTATGGTGGTCTGTGTAACACGGGAATAATTAATTTCACTCCCACTAAACCCCTAAAAATGACCCATTGTTTTGGTTGTGTTAATCTGTTGGTTGAAAATAAAAATGTGCTTCTATGAGTAATCTTCATTGTACAGGACGTGCTACCAAATAAGAATTTTTGTTCAACACACTATATTTTCTTTTTCAGGAACAGGATTCACTTGTAAGTATTTTTTCTGAGGATAGAAACATCAGTTGCAGTTTAATTTTTAACATGGGGCTTTTATTCCGTTTCTTTTGTTCTCTTTTTGATTTCTCACGCTGTTCTCAGAGACAGACATAATCATCCGTTTGGCATCTGAAAAACGTGGCTTAGATTTCGTGTCGAAACAGTCAGTTTAACAAAATTTAGGTCCAGTATGAACAGAAATGTACTAACCATTTTTTTTTCCATAAATGTTTTCACGCCAGGAACAAAATTTTCTAAACTTTTTTATAAGTGAGCATAAGCAAGATTAGTGAGAGTAAAAAGTTATTAAATTGAATCCATACAAAAATAATATAAAGAATTGGAACTTTCGAATTAAATATGACAAAACTGTCTCAGGCAATCAGTCGTCCGAATTAGCAGTTGACTTCTGCTACAGACTGGTACGACTAATTACCAAAAAATTCTTTAACACAAACAATATTCTCTTTTCTTGAAAGGATACCATATTTTAATTCACAACATCTTTCAGATTTCTACTAATGGCTGCAGAATATTACAAGTCTGTGAATGTGCAGTTCAAATTATTAATTTATTCCTTGTTTTGTATCGTCAGCATAACTTCTTAGAATCTTTTCGATTTTTATGGACCAGATTTTTGTTTTATTTTTTAAATCTGGTTGGCTCCAGTTTCAGAGATGTTTTCTAATGCAAACAGCATCAACTGTATTCAAAAGTTACCTGATTTCCTTGTCCATTGGACAGACCAGTCTTCTAGCTCTGAGAACCGTTCGTGCTGGGTAACGCAACTCACATTCCGCCTCCCATTATATTAGTAGTACTCTTTCCTACAGCAGTGCATGGCGAAAGTTAAATACGTTTGTATTTCCAATAACTTCCTTCAAAGCTAATAGTGTAATTTGCTCAGCCACTTCTAGTACGGTGATTTGTAAATATTCAGAGACGTGTTTCAAATCTTTGGGTGAATATTTATGAGTGAAACAGCGTGTAGTACCTCTGTTAATTCATAGGTTCTTTAATTTTCTCTGATACGCTGGGCTTTCATTGGACCCACACTAACAAGATCTCACATTTTCAGAGAAAACGAAATTTTACTCAATGTCTGGCTCTGAGTTGCCGTTTTCAGTGATACCCGATAATTATTTTTCTCTAGTAGTGTATGAGTACATGAAAGTATCCTAAAGAGTTCAAAGAAATAAGCAAGTACTTCTCTTCTCTAACCATTTTTCAAAACTAAACCGCTGTGTGGTTTGTATACTTAAATTTTGATGTGAACTGACAATATAAATAAGCTTCACTAATATTATATTTGCTTATATAAATCATTAACTGTTGTGCAGCTGTTGAATTATTGTACAGAGTGAATGTTCAGTGCTTTAGAATTATTTACGTTACGCAGTCCCACACAACCTGCTAAAGTACTCTTGTTATTGATTAATGAAGTATCGCAGTCTGTGCTGTCATTAACCATCGCTAAAGTACTTTTGTTATTGATTAATGAACTATCGCAGTCTGTGCTGTCATTAACCATTCAAGAGCCAGTTACTGGTTTGAACACGTGCGGCCTTCATAAGAACAGTGTAATGGAGTATAGTGACACTCAGAAGTGAAGGCTTGTACAACTTTTGTTGTGTGGGGTTGCGTAACAAAAGAATTTGAAGGCACATTCATTCTATGTAACTTACACAGAGAAATTGCATGTCAGTCATACAGTGGCTTTGTGGTAAATATTGCTTCAAATTTTGCAACTTAGGAACCATATGGTTTAACTTTTGAAAATGGTTTCTGTGCCATTGCAAAAAAAAAAACTACCATAATAATTGTATATTCACATATTAATAAAAGATATACAACCTGTGTCCGTTCTACACTAGGGAAGAAACTCTTATAGCAGGCACGGTTAAAACTGTGGGAAGGCAGATTGTCGCTCTGTTAAAATTAACATAATGATCTGTAGGCGCACAGAATATGCTGGGAAATTTAGTTAATTTCTCAAATTCTTGTATCCTGATATCTGTTTTCAGCATGGATGAAGTCATACTATATTAGTAAATTATAAATACTTTCACCTCAAGGGAAATGTAAGACATATTTATTTCGAGGAGGATTTGCCTGTTGGAGTGTCATCAGTTTGGGTTAGAATTCTTTGTTAAATTGACACATACCTATTGCTGCAAAATATTTTCTAATTTTTCAAATATAACCTAGCAGTTTCAGATTCAATTCATATACTTACGTTAGATCATTAAAATACATAAAATATATTGTTATATATTAAGACTTCCCTTTCTGACGTAAACGAGCAAATAAAGTCTGAACCCAAGTACACATTACTGCAGTCACAGATGGTGTGGTTTTTGCTCTGTTTGTCCTGAGCTGGCACCATTTCTCGATTTTATTATTTATTTGACTGCAAATGGGGTTTTACCCGGTGGCAGTGGTCCTACAATAAGACACAAAACAATAAGACACAACAAAACATAAGACAACAAAAACAATAAGAAACAACAGAACAATGAGACAGAACAAAACAGTAAGACAAAAAGACATGGCACAACAAAAACAATAAGACACAACAAAACAACACACCACACTCAAAATAAAACAACTCATAATATTACAAAACCATATAACCTAAAGTACATAACTTAAAAAAATAATACCAACTAGACATAAGACAGTAACAGTAATGAATCACACGTTTCATCAGGACCTTCTCTTCACTTCACTACACTTATGAACATGCTAAAACTGAGATTGCAACTTACATTCTGTCTTCGTAGGAAGACCATACGTACATCTGAACATCCGATGGAAGCACAAAACTGTTACCAGCTAACATTTTTAA